CTCCAATCAGTAGCTAATAAAGTGTAACTTATAGTGCCTTGAAAGTCGGAGAAGAAAAGCGTCTTTTTTCATTGGCCCCCTGTACACTAGGCCTCCCTCCTCCTCCCATGCGGATTTCACAACTATAATATACTCTGACTGTAAATTTTCAGCGTTCTACTTGCTTCAAAATGGCTGCAGCGCTCATCATCAACGAGGAGGACGCTTCAAAAGTGGATGTCTTGGCCGATCATTTCCTTCCATTGCTGGTCCGTGAAATGAACAGAAAGTCGTCCAAAGGTAAAGCTATTATACAGACTTGGACAGCTGCATATTGAGAATCGTCCTCTTGGGTTTTATGTTTCTGCATTAGAATTTACCGAAGGTTTTGTAAGTTTTTCCCAACTCGCAAACTTTCGAAGACGATAGTACATCAGCTGTATAAAGGTGCTTCCATCACGCCGCGGATTGCGCGCTACCAGAAGAAATAAACAATGTAGAACTATTACGTTAAGTATCAAGGTGTACCTTCTACTTTCAGACAACAGAAGAGATGTATTCTATATCCATGGAAGTGGGCGAAGTTTTCAAGACAAAATTGGGAGACCAGCGCTATGCTAGTCAGCTAGCGGAGTGTCAAAAAACTGCAATTATCAAGGCTGAGCTGAGGAAAAGGAAAGCAAAGGTGATTTTGTCGTTCCTGGCGGCTTGTGTGCTTTGTGATAGTTCTTGCCATTATTTATGTAGGTTCATTATTGAAAGAACCACCGTATAAGCCATGAGCTTTAGACATCCCGTTTTTTGGTCATTGGAGCTTCCCGTAAGCCCCGAAAGGAGGAACAGCGGATTCCATTTGCTGCATGTCACATAAAAACCTAGTCCCTGCGTTGGTAGTTTGAAAATAGTCGGCATTATATGACATACATGAAGATGAGTTTCCTGCTAGCTAGCTTAGCTGTTGCAGAGCTAAAAATAAGTTGATATGATCAAGTTGTGTCTCTCCATGAAATTTCCTAAGACCGCAAAACGCCTTAACCGTTGGCGACTCAACTTTTTTTACAACAACTTGGCGGGAGTCTCATGTTTTGGACGGTCTACTCTTGAGATATCCCACCTGCAAGTAAGTAAAGTGATCACGGGAATATGTACCGTTGATGGTCTGACTGTGAAGCAAACTGAGTTTCACCTTTTTTGACTCTAGCAGCATCTCTCCCAACTTGAGTAGGACGGGACCCCGCAAATTGACGTCCAGATGGATATCATATTGACCGACCACGTGCAATTAGCACCCCTTTCTGTCCTGGCTAATGCGTTTGACTGCCGACCAAATTTGCGAACCCTCTGCGGTCAGCCCGATCTTTTGAATTGCCTCAAGTCACCAAATCCGTAAAAACTTTCATAGGGTAGTTTAACATCCCTGATTACGAATATGACATTCACTCTTGTCGCTGGCGCCAAGAGAGGACACTACGATTACCTCTTGGGCTCAGCCTTAGCAGAGCGCAGATAATCGTAGTGTCATCCATTAGCGCCAGCGACAAGAGTGAATGTCATATCCTTAATCAGGATGTTAAACTACCTCTATATACAGGTTTTTAGCGGATTTGGTGACTTAAGGCAATTTAAAAATTCTCCGTTTTCTCGCAAGAAATGTTCGAGCTCGGTTCGAAATTCTCTGGAAAACTGCATGGCCTTCCATCCGAAGTTGTTACTGAAGGGCAGGAGTTGGTCTTTCAGGGAACACCACGCAACATGCCCAGTGATGACTCACCAGCCCAAGCAAAGCTCGAGGTCCATGCTGGTGGAATTGGCCCCGGTTTTCAAGAATTGGCAAGATGTATTGTTCTGACAAAGGCTCCGATACAAGCAGAGGTCGCTGCAGTAGTGCTTGGATTCCTTCGTATGTGCCCCCGGAGCAGCCCTTGCAAGCAAGCGGGAATAAACGTCTCTTTAAATGGTGCTTGGCAGCCCGACATGCATAAAAACGGTCGATCACCACAGTCTAGAGAACCGACTAGAGCTTAGGTGATCGACATCACCCGCGTTTGCGCTGTTCTTCGGTACAGCAAGTAACCTTCTGCCCATGCTCGAGACTAGTACTGGTAGGAGGAAGATTAAATATTGCAACCACCTCAAAAACGACCTCTTTCCATTTTCGATCGCTAGATTCACTCTGTTCTGTGACAAAGCGACCCCACTTGCTGTTTAGCATACGAGCAGGTACTGGATATCAGAGATCTCACCGAAGATGCACTGTTGACCGACTGCTTATCGGAAGAGAGAAAAATAAATTGTAGAAAAAGTGTCGAAAATCTCACTAGAACTATGGTGCAACATAATAAACCACCACCTTCGACAGGGTGGTTGTTTTACATTTTGGTATGAGGCAGGGTACGGCATCGTTGTGTGAAACACATAGGTAGTACTTTTCCGCTGGGGAGGGGGTCGTATGTGCGCTTTGAGAGAAATTTGCTGGGTTGGGAAAAAATTTTCCGCGGTTGTTGACTTTTAGCGTGATTTTGCCTGTTTCATGTGTACTGCATTCTCTCCCCCCCCTGTGTGATGTTGGTGGGTAGGTCCTGGGGGTGTTAGGGAGGGGGGGGGGGAATCGCACCAAGACCCTCGTTTAGGTGGCGGGGGGGGTCGTACTGAAACTCCCTTTCTCGGAGAGGGGTCGTACTTACATCACCATTTAACACATCACGATGCTGTACCCTGATATGAGGGTCTTATGAGTGTCGCTGCTAGTTTGCAACTACAACTAAGCTTGGCAGTTCTGCACCCTAAGTACGCCAACTGATTTGCTTTGTAGTTCGCGTTTTCACTGAGATACGCTGCGCGTTTGAAGACAATTTGTACATCCACCTCCATGAGGCGAGGTGAATGAGTCCGCGGCTGCAGTAGCGTACAACTTTCCCCGATCAAAAGCACACGAGAACGGGGGCCAGAGGGTTGTGACACCCGGGTGATGTCTCCACACTCCGCTTGCGCTATTGTCAGTGTGCGTCTTTTGCGTCGATTACGAGATGCCGCAGCGAAACGCGCACGCAGTGGTAGACAACTACTAGAAGTGAGAGGACGCAGACAAGTAGCGCGTTTGGCTATGGCTAGGCGTGTGGCTGGCTGTTCAGCAGCGTGGGCGGAACATGGAGAGGGCGTACTACTACCCTCCAGACCCGTTCCGGTGCAGTGATTAGAGAAAGTGGCCCACTGCCAAAGTAGACCCTTTGACCTCACGCATGGCAAGGGCCAGGACTCACGGTGGGGAATGTACACTTTGTTTTAACAGGGTGCAGCAACTTCTTTGTGTGGGCTGCTTTTTTCAGCCGAGTCATGATAAACTGTTTAGGAACTGGTCCTGACGAATCCTGACGAAGCGGCTGCGTTGAAACGTAAGAAAAACGTGAAGAAGACGGAGTCTCGTAAGCGTAAGATTGATGCGTTAAAGCCTTATCGCGTGATTAATCGTCAGCATGCCGAGCGCGTTCGAGCCGAGCAGAACGAAGAAGATTAACACTCATGTCGTGCTTGATCCTATTTCACTAGGAGGCCCATCAGCAGGCCTGGAAGCCGGCAATCGATCAGTCCCGTTGTATTTCTTTCTAATCTATAAGCAAGATGCCATCCTTCATCCAGGTGGGATGGATGTTTTTTCTGGAATGACTAAAATTATGTGGTTCAAGCTGTTCGATGGCTTGCAGTCCAGTTGTCAACATTGAATGTGATTGCTAGTTCATTGTTGATCTAAAAATGTCCTAAAAAGTTGATAGTTTCAAATAGGATATTTCGAATAGTGTACATATGTTTATTTCACTGTTACTTGTTGGTTGTTATGATTTTGACCTGAATTTGTTGATTGTTGTTATTGCCCACGTTTGTTGGAAATCAAACCGCTATGCTTGCATAAAAAAGCTCTGAGTTCTTCATGTATTCTGGTATATTAGGGATTTTATTATTGCAGGGGGAAGGAGCGAAATCTTTCACTCGTCGCGGAAAGCTGGGACAGACAATGATATTAGGTTGTCCGGAAAGTTCTCAGCGTTTTGGGTGTTTCACTTTAAACGATCGTAACTTTTTTAATACTCATCGGATTTAATCGAAATAGGCACCATTCGAATCAGCACACTTTTGCCAATGTGACAGCAGTCGAGAAATCCCATCAAAGTAAAAAACTGGGTGGTCGAAAATTCACGAAATCCACGAAGGCTTTTTTGCCTGGTCCTGATTGATGAAGTATTTTCCAGCAAGGAAGTTCTGAAAATGTTTGAAAAGGGAATATTCGTTGGTGGAAGGTCTGGAGAATATGGCGGTTGAGGTAGAACTTCAACCCCAATTCGTTCAATTTATGGATAGTGATTTGTGAAACGTGTGCGGGCGTTGTCATGCAAAGGAATCGGACCCTTTCTTTTGATAAGTGTTGGCTGCATCTGACAAAATTTTCGGTACAATTCGTCGATTTCTTCACAGTAGGGTTCTGCTGTGATGGTTTGGCCTGGTGATAAAAAGTTATAGTGGATCACACCAGCCGATGACCACCAAGCCGTGACCAGAATTTTTTTCGTGAGGGTTCGGCTTTGAAAATTACCTCGGTGGTTCGTCGAAATCCAACCACTGTCCGGAACGTCTCCTGTTATCATACATGACCCATTTTTCATCACAGGTGACAATTCGGCCCAAAAACAGGTCGTTTCTGCTGCGCAAAAGCAATGCAGAAGGAACCTCGAGACGTGCCGATTCCTGCCGGTCACTCCGATTGTGGGGCACCCAATTGTCGAGTTTTTTCACCTTCCCAATGCGTTCAGACCATCTGCAACAGTGGATTTGCCAACGCCTAGCTTTTCTGCTATCTCTCGAACTGTTTGGGATGGGTCAGCCTCCAAAATCCCCTAAAATCCTCGTCAGATATTGCTTTAGGTCGACCGCTATGAGGTTCATCTTCAAGGCTGAAATCTCCAGAACGAAATTTGTTGAGCCATTGCCGCACAGTGCTTTCTCTAGCACTATTGGGCCCCCACACCTGGTTAATTTGTTGAGCTGTTTCGATTGCGGATTGCCCCAATTTATAGTCGAAGAAAAAAATCGTCCGAAGTGCTCTTTTCACATGCTTGAAAAAATCTTGAAAAAGGGGGTTTATCAAGCAATGGTGAAACGGCAATTACCATCAGATAGCGCAAGAAATTCTCTACAGGATGTGCTACTGAGAAGCAAGGCAGAATGAGTTTTTAATCAGCAGTGAATGTACAAAAAATAGGTGCACAAAACGCTGAGAACTTTCCGGACAACCTAATAGTTCGTCATGCGGCAGGGTACAGCATCGTGATCTGTGAAATTGTGAAACGGTGGCGTGAGTACGACACCCCCTCCCCCACCTAAAAGAGGGTCTCGGTATGACCCCCCGCCCCCTCCCCCGCACCTATCCCACATTTTCCAGTTTTTCACCCAAATATTTCCCGTCGAGTGGGGGAGGTGGTATGTAGTGTACACATGGAACAGGAAAGTTGAATAAAATTCCCTTTTTTTCAAAATTTTTCCCCAGTACGGCAAGTTCCTCTCAGAACCACATATGACCCCCCCCCTCTCAAAAACAGGGACCGAATACGACCCCCATACCCAGTGGAAAAGTAGACCCCCTTTAGTTCCAGACAGCAATGCTGTATCCTGATCATATGTAAAGGCGAACGGAGGAGGTGTTTTGGAGTGTTTCCTTTTTCCAATAGTTTTTGTTCAAATGAAATTACTTCATACTACCTCCCCCCCCTACGTCAACAGATTGACAGGTGGCAAGTCGAACACGTTTTTCCAGAGCGTGCTCGACCTCTTGTTGTGGTTGTCCTTAGCACCTGAGTGATGAAGACAACAAAAGGTGTGCGAGGTCTGAGGTCTGTGCTGTTTTACATCTTTCGATAGTAGTGATCTCGGGCTCTGTGCCATTCCGTTTGCCTCTTCAACGATAATTTCTCACGGACAACTCAGTCTAGACTCTTCTTCAACAATGGTTGATGAGAACTCGATACATAATTTTTTTATTGGTGAACTTCCGATGCGTAGCAGCTTCTTCAGACCTACATACACTGCGAAGCAATCATCATAGTTCCACCCATGAATCTCACAAAATCCTGTCTTACACGAGTTTTCCAGAAATGCCCCCATACAGAAAATGTGGCAATTACCAATTCGCATGCCAACACCAAACTGTAGCTCGAAAAACAGTTTTTTCTT